CAAGTGGGGGAAAAAAAATCAGATATCCTAGGAACTTTAAAGCTATTAGCTATACTGCGTACACTGCTTAGGCACCTTCGGCACTTGATAAGAGACAGGATTTTCAGGACTGCAGTTTTGACCACAAGCACCTAGAACAGTTCTGTTAAAGTATTTCTATGAACCTACTTATTGCTAATAGTTAGTGGAGAGGGGGATCAGAATCAGAGGCATAACCTCATGTCAAGATTGCATTGAGCACTTTCATGTCTTCCCAAACTCATTACTGAGAGACAATTAACACTAAACCACAAAACACTTCTGCAGAGTGGGCATTATACTGAAAATAGGAACACTTGTCAGTTAATTCAGATTTAAGTTAGCTATCTACCCAGAGCTCATCTTTTTACGTAAAGCAAGTTAGCAAGCTGCATAGGGTTAAAAAGCTATCCATTATAACAAACACACGTCTGACATCTATCAGTTTGCCTATTTATTTAACTGTTACAATTTTGTCCCCAACATATTACTGTTAATTTGATCTATGTATTCGATTTGCAACATCCATTCTCTGGGCAGAATCCCACAGATACCCTCAAGCACGTGTTTGCTTTGGCACATTGTTTAAATATACCTACTGGAAAAGGCACAAAGATAACAGACAATAGAAGAGTCAGAAAACCATCTACGCTAATTATTTTAGATAAATGTGTAAGGTTTATCAGTTATCTACATAGTATCAAGACATGCAAGAAACGGCAATTTCAACATTACTCTATCATTCACATAAGAGCTTTCAACGTTTGCTCTCTAAGTGCAGTGATCCTTTGTATGAAGCGTTACCATGCTAGCTTTACAAGGACAACGCTACTGATCAGTATACTACATAAAAGACTAAGTATAGTACTTCCCAAATAATAAAAACTAATTGAGCAACGACTCGTGCGTAACAGTCCCTCAATTTTGCATATAATAGTCAATCCCTTAGTTTATGTTACCCATTTAATAACATAAAGGTTTTGGCTGAACAGTCAACTTCAGGTTCATAAATACACATGGAAAGTGTTTCCAGAGCTCTGTCTCTGGGCATCTTGAAATTTCTTGGCAAACAGCAATTGGGAAGGATCTCTGCTTCTCCCCCCTCCAGCCACTCTAAATGGCGTGGGATTTTTGTGTCGCAATTTACAAACTGTTTTTTGTTATCCATCTACTCTGTCCTGCAACACAAAGGAGAACAAATGCCTTATGAATTACATTTCACTTGCACTGCATCAGCACATTTAGGCGCAGGCAAGAGACTGAAGAAACTACTAGATGCAGACCTGAGGGTTCTGCACGCAGCATCCTACAAAAAAAAAACAACCGGAGATGCCTAACGACACAGCACCCTCACAAACTCATTTGCAATTTGAAACTTGTCAAGAAAGGCAAGGACTGGAAGCGATGCACTTAAATCTAAAGAGTAACTACACTTGCTAACCCAGCATCAAATTGACCGCGGGGATCTGGGAGGGGGGGCTCCTTCTGAGACGGGTGCAGGCAGACACCAAGCACAGTTTATTCCTCCTGGTGTTCACCCCAGGGTCTTTAAGGCATCGGACAGCCCGGAGACATAAACGACCACGCCGCGGAGGGGGAACCTCGGGACCACGAGGGGCACGGCGGGGGAAAGAACACCTACCCCTGCCCAGCCGCCGCCGCCGCCTCCTCCTCCTCCTCCCGCCTTTGGCTCCCTGCCGAGCGCGGGGCATCTCCCCCGGCCAGGCGGGAGACAAAAGGGAGCCGAGGAGCCCCCCGCGGGCCGGGGCTGGCGGCGGAGCGGACCGAGCGCCCGGAAATCCCACAATCCCCGCGGCCCCGGCGGGAAACCCTTCTCCTTCCCTCCCGCCCCCCACCCCGGGACGTTCCACCGGGAAACCCCGGCCCCAAAGCCTCGCACGTGGGG